CTGGTTTTTATTATTGAAGAACCACTAATATCAATAAATAAATTGATAGAAAAAATAGGCGAATTTGGGGAGGTTGCTGGTTTGAAAATTAATAAAGAGAAGATGAAGATAATGACTAAAAATATGTTAAAAAAACAAAAAAAAGAACTGAGGGAGATCTCTAAGATGCAGGTCACAAATAAGGTAAAATACTTGGGGATTCAATTAACAGCAAGATGTAGTTCTCTTAAAGAAAATAATTATAATAAGCTTAAGCAACAGATAGGACAGGATTTGGGGAAATGGGGAAACTTGCAGTTATCTTTGATTGGTAGAATTACAACTATTAAGATGAATATTTTACCTAGAATTTTGTATCTTTTTCAGACAATCCCTGTAAAGCTGGGTAAGGAATTTTTTACAGATTTAAATAAAATGGTTTTGAAATATGTTTGGCAGGGAAAGAAGGCAAGGATAAAACTTAAACTGTTACAAGATGCTAAAATGAGGGGTGGTTTTGGATTACCGGATTTTGAATTATACTATCAAGCGGTTTGTTTAATGTGGATTAAAGAATGGGTGATATTGAAAAATACTAGATTATTAAATTTGGAGGGACATGATTTGCTGATGGGATGGCATGCTTTCTTATGGTATAAAGGAACTAAAATTCAGGGGTATTTTAGAAGGCACCAGATACGTGAAGCTTTGTTTTTGACATGGGAGAAGATCAAAAAGTACCATTATCTGAAGATTCCAGTCTGGGTATCTACAATTGAAGCTTTTTCTTATCCAGTGGTATTTGAAGGGGAACAAATTGTTAGATGTAATGAATTATTGGATGAAAAGGGTGAACTTAAATTGAAACAAAACTTAGAAGATCAGGGAATTAAGATAGATTGGTTTTCATACATGCAAACTTTCCAGATATCGAGAAGACTTTAAACAAGAAGGTATTTATAGTGTTTCGACTGGTTTAGACAAGATATTAATGGGTTCAGATGACCATATAATTAAAAAGCTATATGGATATTTACTTGAAGCAAAACTGGAAGAAGAACAAGTTAAAGAATCAATGATAGCATGGGGAAAAATTTTTTGTTATAGTATTGATTTAGAGAAATGGCAAAAATTGTGGTCACATAATTATAAAATGACAATGTCAACAGCATATAAAGAGAATTTGTATAAGATGTTTTACAGGTGGCATCTACCCCCGAAGAGAATAGCCAGGATGTTTAAGAATAAATCGGAGAAATGTTGGAAGTGTCATCAAACTCCAGGATCGTATTACCATATGTGGTGGACATGCGTGGAAGCAAGGAGATTTTGGACTAAACTACATACGTGGTTAGAAAAAATGACAAAGAGACATACTGACTTTAAACCAGAAATATTTTTACTAGGAATTTTACCAGAGACATTTTATAAAGAATTACAATACTTAATTGTGAACATTTTAACAGCGGCCAGAATTGTATTTGCCAAAAACTGGAAAGGAGAGAAGATAATTACCGATGAAGAAATTATTATGAAAATGTTGGACTGTGCTGAAATGAGTAGATTGACATTTGAAATAAGAGAGCAGGAAGATGAACAATACTATTTGATACGGGAGATATTTTATCAATGGTTTGATAAAAAAATATGGAGATGAGATAGCATATATGAAAATACATATGTTTAAATATGTATTTTTAGTTTAAGTAAAGAATAATTGTTATATGAGGAGATTTGGAAAATTGTAAGCACAAAATGATTTTAACCGATTGAGATGCTGTCTATAATCGTTTGTAAGGATGATATTTTTATGTTATTGTTGTTGTGTTTTTTTCTTATTTTTTTTTAAATTTTATTTTTAATCTAAAATAAAACTTTTCCAAAAAAAAAAATAGTTCTCATCACAGTTGTATCTCGAGGTTTCCTTGTATGCTGGCTGGGAAATTGTGAGGTTCAAAATCTGGAGTTCACCAAGATAGAAGGCTGAAACTCCACAAGTCGGAATTCCATAATCAAAATACAAAAAACACCACCCAAAGGCCTGTTTGCAGAAATTCCACGACTTCTGCAAATGCAAACATCCAGAAAATACTGCTGATAATCAGAAACAGGTAGTTAGCCTTTATCAAGCTAATATTTTCCATTTTTCTCTCTCCACCTACAGGTCTAATCCTGAGATCTCTTGACCAAAAAGAATCAGGCCAGAATTTAAATAATCAATTTCTCATCTATACTCCGAATAGGAGATCAGAAATGAATTTCAAGCTTTCTCTAAACTGTTCAATATTTATTTATTTATTTTTATTTATTTATTTATTAAATTTTTATACCGCCCCCTCTCCCGAAGGACTCGGGGCGGTGAACAGCCAAAATTAAAACACACAATACAAATATTAAAATACAATTAAAAACAAAATTAAATTATCTTTGGCTTCTCCAATTTAAAACCCCTTACCCATAAAATTCACCCAATTAAAATTTTTAACCCAGTCCGGCTTGCTGAAATAAAAAAGTCTTCAGGACCCGGCGGAAGGTCCGGAGGTCCGGGATTAGTCGTATCCCTGGGGGTAGCTCATTCCAGAGGGCGGGTGCCCCCACAGAGAAGGCTCTTCCCCGGGGGGTCGCCAGCCGACATTGCCTGACAGACGGCACCCTGAGGAGACCCTTTCTGTGGGAGCGTGTTGGCCGGTGGGAGGTTATCGGAGGCAGAAGGTGGTCTCGTAAATAACCGGGTCCTAAGCCATGGAGCGCTTTGAAGATGAGAACCAGCACCTTGAAGCGCACTCGGAAGACCACTGGAAGCCAATGCAGCTCGCGCAGGAGAGGTGTCACGTGGGAGCGCCATGTCGCCCCCATAAGTACCCGCGCGGCCGCATTCTGCACCAGTTGGAGCCTCCGAGTGCTCCTCAAGAGGAGCCCCATGTAGAGAGCGTTGCAGTAGTCGAGGCGGGAAGTAACGAGGGCATGAGTGACCGTGCATAAGGAGTCCCGATCCAGAAAGGGGCGCAACTGGCGTATCAGGCGAACCTGATAGAAAGCCCCCCTGGCCACGGCCGTCATATGCTCTTCTAAAGACAGCCGTGTGTCCAGGAGGACACCCAACTTACGCGCCCTCTCCGTGGGGGCCAATGTCTCGCCCCCAATAGTCAGCGATGGCACCAGCTGACTATATCGGGACGCCGGCATCCACAGCCACTCAGTCTTGGAGGGATTGAGTCGGAGCCTGTTCCTCCCCATCCAGACCCGCACGGCCTCCAGGCACTGGGACATCACTTCAAGGGCATCGTTGGGGTGGTCTGGGGTGGAGATGTACAGCTGGGTGTCGTCAGCGTACAGATGGCACTGCACCCCAAAACCACGGATGATCTCACCCAGCGGCTTCACATAAATGTTGAACAGGAGAGGCGAGAGGACCGACCCTTGTGGCACCCCACAAACCAAGTGCCTTGAGGTCGACCTCTGCCCTCCAGCCAACACAGACTGCGACCGGTCGGAGAGATAGGAGGAGAACCACCGTAAAACAGTGCCTCCCACTCCCAACCCCTCCAACCGGCGCAGCATGATACCATGGTCGATGGTATCAAAAGCCGCTGAGAGATCTAATAGGACCAGAACAGAGGAGCAACCTCTGTCCCGAGCCCTCCAGAGATCATCAACCAACGCGACCAATGCCGTTTCCGTGCTGTACCCGGGCCTGAAGCCGGACTGGAATGGATCTAGATAGACGGTTTCATCCAGGTACTGCTGGAGCTGTCGCGCAACCACACTCTCAACAACCTTCGCCAAAAAGCGAAGGTTGGAAACTGGACGATAATTTGCTAAAACAGCTGGGTCCAGAGAGGGCTTCTTGAGGAGGGGCCTCACCACCGCCTCTTTCAAGGTGGGAGGCAAGAACCCCTCACTCAAGGAAGCATTTATAATCCTCTGGAGCCAGCCTCGTGTAACCTCCCGGGTAGCCAGCACCAACCAGGAGGGACACGGATCCAATAAACATGTGGTTGCGTTCAACCTCCCCAGCATCCTGTCCACGTCCTCGGGAGTCACAGGGTCAAACTCATCCCAGATAACCGTCTCAAGACAGACCTCGGACAACCCGCCTGTACCTACCCTGTCAGAGTCCAAGCCTTCCCGAATTTGAGCAACTTTATCGTGCAGATAATGCGCAAAATCCTCAGCACGACCTTGCAAGGGGTCTTCCCGCGCTCCCAGATGGAGAATGGAGCGAGTCACCCTAAACAAGGCAGCTGGGCGATTTTCTGCCGACGCGATAAGAGCGGAAAAGTAATTACACTTTGCCGCCTTTATTGCCACTAAGTAGGTCTTGATATAAGACCTCACTAGTGTACGGTCAGATTCGGAGGGACTGGCCCTCCAACCACTCTCTAGGCGTCTTTTCCGGCGTTTCATCCCCCTCAGCTCCTCGGAGAACCAAGGAGCTGGGCAGATTCGGCGCCGGATCAGAGGCCGCAAAGGCACGACCCGATCTAAAGCACCAGCGGCCGCCCTATCCCAGGCGGCCACCAGGTCTTCCGTCGAGTCGCGCGCCAGAGTCTCAGGAAATGGCCCAAGCTCCATTCGGAACCTATCAGGATCCATCAGGCGCCTGGGGCGGAACCACCTGATCGGTTCCGCCTCCCTGCGATGGGGCATAGCGGTCAGGAAGTCAAGTCTAAGGAGAGAATGGTCTGACCATGACAAGGGTTCAATAACTATATCCCCTGTATCTAAGCCATTCAACCACTGACCAGAGACGAAAACCAAGTCCAGCGTGTTTCCTCCTATGTGAGTGGGGCCCTGAATTAACTGGGTCAGGTCATGTGCCTCATGTGCATTTTCTTGTGAGTAATCGGAGATTATTTACACCTAAAGCATTGTTCACAATATGGACATTGGAAAGGTTTCTCTCCTGTGCATAAAGGTTAGACGAAACACTGAAATCTTTCCCACAATCCAGACACTTGTACGGCTTCTCTTCTGTGTGAGTCCTCTGGTGTATCACCAGATAGGAATTGACACTGAAACCTTTCCCACAATCAGGACATTAAAAGGGTTTCTCTCCTGTGTGAGTCCTCTGGTGGCCAATGAGGTAGGAATTCTGACTGAAGCTTTTCCCACATTCAGGACATTCAAAGGGCTTCTCTCCTATGTCAGTTCTCTGGTGTTTCACCAGGCTGGAATTGAGACCGAAACTTTTCCCACACTCAGGACATTCAAAGGGTTTCTCTCTTGTGTGAGTCCTCTGGTGGTTCACCAGGCTGGAATTCTCACTGAAACATTTCCCACAATCAGGACATTCAAAGGGCTTCTCTCTTGTGTGAGTTCTCTGGTGTTTCACCAGGCTGGAATTGAGACCGAAACTTTTCCCACACTCAGGACATTCAAAGGGTTTCTCTCTTGTGTGAGTCCTCTGGTGTTTCACCAGGCTGGAATTCTGACTGAAACTTTTCCCACACTCAGGACATTCAAAGGGTTTCTCTCTTGTGTGAGTCCTCTGGTGTTTCACCAGGCTGGAATTCTGACTGAAACTTTTCCCACATTCAGGACATTCAAAGGGCTTCTCTCTTGTGTGAGTTCTCTGGTGTATCAGCAGGTGGGAATTGACACTGAAACCTTTCCCACAATCAGGACATTCAAAGGGTTTCTCTCCTGTGTGAGTCCTCTGGTGTATCACCAGGTTGGAATTGTGACTGAAACTTTTCCCACACTCAGGACATTCAAAGGGTTTCTCTCCTGTGTGAGTCCTCTGGTGTATCACCAGGTGGGAATTCTGACTGAAACGTTTCCCACAATGAGGACATTCAAAGGGCTTCTCTCCTGTGTGAGTTCTCTGGTGTATCAGCAGGCTGGAATTCTGACTGAAACTTTTCCCACATTCAGGACATTCAAAGGGCTTCTCTCCTGTGTGAGTCCTCTGGTGTATCAGCAGGTGGGAATTGACAATGAAACCTTTCCCACAATCAGGACATTCAAAGGGTTTCTCTCCTGTGTGAGTCCTCTGGTGTTTCACCAGGCTGGAATTCTGACTGAAACTTTTCCCACACTCAGGACATTCAAAGGGTTTCTCTCTTGTGTGAGTCCTCTGGTGGTTCACCAGGCTGGAATTCTCACTGAAACATTTCCCACAATCAGGACATTCAAAGGGTTTCTCTCCTGTGTGAGTCCTCTGGTGTTTCACCAGGCTGGAATTGACACTGAAACCTTTCCCACAATCAGGACATTCAAAGGGCTTCTCTCCTGTGTGAGTTCTCTTGTGTATCACCAGGTGGGAATTCCGACTGAAATTTTTCCCACATTCAGGACATTCAAAGGGCTTCTCTCCTGTGTGAGTTCTCTGGTGTTTCACCAGGCTGGAATTGAGAATGAAACTTTTCCCACACTCAGGACATTCAAAGGGCTTCTCTGCTGTGTGAGTTCTCTGGTGTTTCACCAGGCTGGAATTGAGAACGAAACTTTTCCCACACTCAGGACATTCAAAGGGCTTCTCTCCTGTGTGAGTTCTCTGGTGTATCAGCAGGCTGTAATTTTGACTGAAGCTTTTCCCACATTCAGGACATTCAAACGGTTTCTCTCCTATGTGAGTCCTCTGGTGTTTCACCAGGTGGGAATTTGCTGTGAAATGTTTCCCACAATCTGGACACTCATATGATTTCTCCCTGGTGTGAGTCCTCTGATGTACCACAAAGTTGCCATGCTTGAAAAAGCATTTACCACATTGGGGGCAGTTGTAGGGCATCTCTACTATGAGGATCCTTCTATGAATCGCAAGGAAGCTATTCTGACTAAAGTTTTGCCACATTTAGAGTATTTATATGGCTCTTGTGATTTGAACTCTTTACTTTTCCCACAATAGGCACATCTATGGAGCTTTTCCATCACTGACATTCTTGAGGAGATCAAAAATATGTGTGATTCCTTATTTTGTTGGTGCCTGCATTACTGGCTGCCATATGTGACTATCCAATTGATGTTTTCTTCCCCACTGGCTTCCAGATATTTCCCCCTTTTTCTGAACGGAAAAATGATCTCCTTTGACCTTTTCAAGTAACGTATTCTTAAATTCTATATAATCTACTTTTTCCAGCTGCAAATCTCTTCATGATTTTCTCTTTTCTGTCTCTTTCCTGCTGATGAAGTAGTTGAATTCTGCAGCTTTCTGAAGGAAAGAGAACATATTTTTATTTCTGCTTCAATTTGCTTTGCTTTTCAGTGTTCCTTGTTATTCTCAGTTGTCCAGTGTGCTTATGTTGGCATCATCTTTGTCTGTAAGATTCAAAAGAAAGTGTAAGTTTTATTGTTTATGAAAGGGTTGCAGAAGATGTGAAAAAAAGAAGTACAGGTAATCCTTTAGGTACGACAGGCCATTCAACGAATTTCTGAAGTTACAACACTCCCCAAATGCTAAATACGAATCTGCTCCAAAGTTGAATTTTTGCAGCGCCTCCCACCCCGAGGTCCTTGACTCCTTCACTGCAGAGATGCTGCAGCATACCCACCCACCTATTTCCCTTCCATCTTGCCCAGTCAGTCCTCACAATCCCCAGACCCCAGTATGTTGACCTGCTTTACAATATACTATGCATTCCTCCCAACCCCACTCCCTCATCACCATTCACTTACTAAATTTCTGACGAGCTCAGGAAGTCAGCTGGGCCACATGGTGTAATCAAGAAGAAGAAATATAAACTCTTTTCTTTCCATGGAAATCCTTTCACTCCAGCCAGCATTAGTGATTTGCCCTGGCTGAGGAGGAAAGGATTGCCATAGAAGCAAAACAGATGAGATTTCTTCTTTGCTCTACCAGCACAACACTAATGTAAAGCTAGTGCTAGTGGGGCTAAGAAGAAATCATGCCTATTTTGCTTCCGTTGTAATCCTTTTCTTTTCTGTTAGGATAAACTACTACGATTTCTTCTTAGCAACACCGGCACTAGTTTTATGCTGGCGAAGAGATCTAAGAAGATTTTGTCGTCGTTTACACTGGCTGGGGAGGAAAGGATTGTCATTGAAACAAGAGATCAAATGTCTTCTTTGCTCTATCAGCGCTAGCTTTACACTAGTCTTACGCTGGTAGAGCGAAGAAGAAATCCCATCTCTTTTGTTTCCATGCCAATGATTCCAAGCTCAACAGCAAATCTACAGCAGAATGGCTGAAAAAGAAAAGAATCAAGGTTTGCAAAAGCAAAGTCCAGACTTCACCCCAATTGAAATGCTGCGGTGGGACCTCTCGAGAGGTGGGCATAAACAAATGCCCACAAACCTCAATGAACTGAAACAATGTTGTAAAGAAGAGTGGGCCAAAATTCCTCTTCAACAATGCAAGAGACTGCTTTTGGTCATACAGAAAATTCCTTGAAGTTATTGCTGCTAAAGGTGGCTCTATAAGATATTGAATCATAAGGTGTTAGTTTTCACACGTGGCTCCTCCATTTTGGCTTTCCTTTTGTAAAATACATGGTGACCAGTGGTGGGTTGCTACCGGTTCGGCCTGGTTCGGTTTAACCAGTAGTAGCGTGGCAGGAGGCTCCACCCACCCGCCCGGACATCATCAAATATGCTCTGTGCATGCGCAGAAGTGGTGCATGTGCACGAACCGTTAGCAAAGGTAAGTGAAACCCACCACTGATGGTTACGTGATGTAATATGTCATGTGATGTTCATCTGAAGTTGTATTTACGTACTTTTAAGAGTGTACAGAACAGATGATTTTTAGTATGTCCTGATACATAAAACTATACAACTCAAAGAGGGTGTACTTTGTTTTTCACATGACTGAATATCTAGAAGCACTGGGGATAGATTATCCAACTCCAATTATCCAACTGCAGAGTTTATTTATTTATTTATTTATTATTTATTAATCAAATTTCTATACCGCCCTACTCCCGAAGGACTCAGGGCGGTGAACAGCCAAGATAAAATACAGATAATCCAAATATTAAAAAAGTCCCTTAAAATTATTAAATATTTCGGCCGAAACACACCCAATTATAAAACACCCAATTTATAAAATCACAAATTAAAAAATTTAAAAAATTTAAAAGATGGGAGTTAGGCCAGGCCAGCTTGCTGAAATAGAAAAGTTTTGAGAGCACGGCGAAACGTGCGCAGGTCCGGGATCTTCCGTATCTCTGGGGGGAGCTCGTTCCAGATGGTAGGTGCCCCCACAGAGAAGGCTCTCCCCCTGGGGGCCGCCAGTCGACACTGTTTGGCCGACGGCACCCTGAGGAGCCCCTCTCTATGGGAGCGTACTGTTCGGTGAGAGGCTATTGGTAGCAGAAGGCGGTCTCATAGATACCCCGGTCCGATGCCATGGAGCGCTCTAAAGGTGGTAACCAAAACCTTGAAGCGCACCCGGAAGACCACCGGGAGCCAGTGCAGCTCGCGCAGGAGGGGGGTCACATGGGAGCGCCACGTCGCTCCCATAACCACCCGCGCGGCCGCATTCTGGACCAGCTGGAGCCTCCGGGTGCTCCTCAAGGGGAGCCCCATGTAGAGAGCATTGCAGTAGTCCAAGCGGGAAGTAACGAGAGCATGAGTGACCGTATTTAATGAGTCCCGATCCAGAAAGGGACGCAACTGGCGAATCAGGCGGACCTGATAAAAAGTCCCCCTGGCCACGGCCGTCATGTGCTCTTCTAAAGACAGCCGTGAGTCCAGGAGGACACCCAAGTTGCGAACCCTCTCCGTGGGGGCCAGTGACTCGCCCCCAATAGTCAGCATTGGCACCAACTGACTATATCGGGATGTCGGAAACCACAGCCACCCGGTCTTGGATGGGTTGAGCCTGAGTCTGTTTCTCCCCATCCAGATCCGCACGGCCTCCAGGCACCGGGACATCACTTCAAGGGCATCATTGGGTGGTCCGGGGTGGAGATGTACAGCTGAGTATCATCAGCGTACTGGTGGTACTTCACCCCGAAACCACGGATGATCTCACCCAGCGGCTTCACATAAATGTTGAACAGAAGGGGCGAGAGGACCGACCCTTGTGGCACCCCACATACAAGGGGCCTTGGGGTCGACCTCTGCCCCCCTGTAAACACAGACTGCGACCGGTCAGAGAGAAAGGAGGAGAACCACCGTAGAACGGTGCCCCCCACCCCTAACTCCTCTAGCCGGTGCAGCATGATACCATGGTCGATGGTATCAAAAGCCGTTGAGAGGTCTAATAGGACCAGGACAGAGGAACAGCCCCTGTCCCGAGCCCTCCAGAGATCATCAACCAACGCGACCAATGCTGTTTCCGTGCTGTACCCAGGCCTGAAGCCCGACTGGAACGGATCCAGATACGACGATTCATCCAGGTACTGGGGGAGCTGTCGCGCTACCACACTCTCAACAACCTTCGCAACGAAGCGAAGGTTTGAGACTGGACGATAATTTGCCAACACTGCCGGGTCCAGGGAAGGTTTCTTGAGGAGAGGCCTCACCACCGCCTCTTTCAAGGCGGCAGGGAAGACACCCTCACTCAAGGAAGCATTTATAATCCCCTGGAGCCAGCCTCGTGTAACCTCCCGAGAGGCCAGCACCAACCAGGAGGGACACGGATCCAGTAAACATGTGGCTGCGCTCAGTCTGCCCAGTATCCTGTCTACGTCTTCGGGCGTCACAGAATCAAACTCTTCCCAGATAATACTCACAAGACCTGCCTCTGTCCTCCCCGCTGAATCTACCCAGTCAGAGTCCAGATGTTCCCGAATCTGAGCGATTTTGTCATATAGATACTGTACAAAATCCTCGGCTCTACCCTCCAAGGGGTCCTCCTGCGCTTCCTGGTGCAGCAGGGAGCGGGTCACCCTAAACAGGGTGGCCGGGCGATTATCTGATGACGCAATAAGAGTGGCAAAATAGTTATACTTTGCCACTTTTATCGCCACCAGGTAGGTCTTAATATGAGACCTTACCAGTGTTCGGTCAGATTCAGAATGGCTGGCCCTCCAACCACTCTCCAGGCGTCTTTTCTGGCGCTTCATCTCCCTCAGCTCCTCGGTGAACCAAGAAGCCAGGTGAGATCGACGCCGGGTCAGAGGCCGCAAAGGCACAACCCGATCCAAAGCTCCAGCGGCCGCCCTATCCCAGGCGGCCACCAGCTCCTCAGTCGAGCTGTGTGCCAGAGCCTCAGGAAATGGCCCAAGCTCCGTCTGGAACCTATCAGGATCCATCAGGCGCCTGGGGCGGTACCACCTCAATGGTTCCGCCTCCCTGCAGCGGGGTGCGGCGGTTCGAAGGTCAAAGCGAAGGAGGGAGTGATCTGACCATGACATGGGCTTGATCACTATATCCCCTATCTCAAGATCACTCAACCACTGACCAGAGACAAAAACCAGGTCTAGCGTGTTTTCCCCCGTGTGAGTAGGGCCATGAACTAACTGGGTCAGGTCCACGACCGTCATGGAAGCCATGAACTCCCGAGCCACCTCAGACGCCTCACCGACGGATAGCAGGTTAAAATCCCCCATGACCATAAGCCTGGGGGTGTCAACCGCCACCGCGGCTATAACGTTGAGCAGCTTGGGCAGGGCTGCCGTCATGTGGCAGGGAGCCAGGTACGTAACCAGCACACCCATCTGCACCCCATGACCCCACTTCACAAGGAGGGACTCACAACCAGCCGTCTGAGGAACAGTGACCTCCCTCGGACCAAGACCTTCTCTAATGACAACGGCCACCCCCCCCTCCCCTCCCCTCCCCTGTGTCCTCGGCTGATAGAATGCGCGGAAACCGAGTTAATTACATTTACACCTACAAATATACCGTATTTTCCAGTGTATAAGACGACTGGGCGTATAACACGACCCCCAACTTTTCCTGTTAAAATATAGGGTTTGGGCTATACTCGCCGTATCAGACTACCCCTCTTTCAATGCACACCAAATAAAAATTAAAAAACATCAACTGGCTCACCCACAATGTAAAAGCAGCCGTGCTAGACCCAAAATGGCCTCTGCAACAAGCAGAAACCTCACACAGCCACAAAAAGCCCCCCCCAAAAACTTTCACACTTTACACACACACAACACAACACAACTGGCTCACCCACAATGTAAAAGCAGCTGTGCTAGACCCAAAATGGCCCCTGCAACAAGCAGGAACCTCACACAGCCACAAAAAGTCCAAAAAACCAACTTTCACACTTTACACACACAAAATTCCACATACAGCTTTGTGAGATTTTGTGTGTTTGTGTAGTTAGAGTGAAACACTACAGAAACACACTAAATCTCAGAAAGCTGCACAAATATTATTTTATTTTATTTTATTTTTATTTTTATATGAAAGCTAAATTTAAAACTTCCTAAACTTTAAATGGCTAGGTCTAAAAAAGAACAACCAAAAAAAAAAACCCCAATTGACTATTTTTTTGAAAGCTCCCAAAGGGGAAAAAAAATTACCCAATAGAACAGGGGTCTCCAACCTTGGCAACTTTAAGACTTGTAGACTTCAACTCCCAGAGCTCCTCAGCCAGCTTTGCTTTGCTGGCTGAAGAATTCTGGGAGTTGAAGTCCACAACTCCCTGCTTGCTTGATTGCAGGCAGGGAGTTGCTTGCTGATAGAATAGATTCAGGCAAGCGAAGCAAGGCAAGCGTTGCGACTAGCAAGCTGAGGTAAGCAAGCTGGAGGGGGAAAACTTTTTTCCTTTTACATGGCTTTGGTGATCCAAGGTGAGTTGCAGGGAACTCAGCTGGGATCGTCAGAGCTTGGATCGCCAGAGCCATTTAAGGCTCCTCAGAGCGGACTTCCGGTTTGCTGCTTGTCCCCGCTGGATGCTCCTTCGGGATCGTCGAACCCACTGCCTGTAAGAGCCGCCTTTTTCAGCGGAATGGCAGCTCGAAAAAACTCCGTTTCCATTAGGAAACGGAGATAGAGCCGGCTGGGGTGGGTAGAGTCCTCTGCCTAATCCCAAAAGTTTTTTATTTACTTTTGGGAGGGAGCGGAAGAGACTCCCCGTATCCCCAGCCGATGCTCCGGGCTCTGGGAAATCTCTGCTACACGCAGAGCTAGGGGGCAAAAACAAACCTGTAAATCTGTCAAATAAATTAATTAAAGAAGATATGAGCTGGACCTCTGATCCTGAAGCGCAAGTATTCTTTTTATTCTATTTTGCCTAAGAAGTGAAGTGAAGGGAAAAAAGATTTTTTAAAATGGCGATTGCTGCTGCGGCTTGAAGAGAGGCTGAAAGGGAAACTCCTTCCGTTTTCAATTACAAAGTAGCGGAATGAATACTTTTGGCTGTAACTGAAGGCAAAACCTCACTCTCACTTCTGTTTTTTTTTCCTTTTTTTTCCCTTGGGGATCTGATATTGATCTTGGTTGGAAAAAAGTTTTTTTTTCTCTTTTCCAGTAAATTTTGTCTGCGTGGAAAAATGGCACTGAGATTTATAACGCTAGACAAACAGGCAGTGGGGGGGGGGGATTCCCCCATTAATAAATTACATCAACAAGTTTTAACTCTCCAGTCTCAGAAACCTGACTTTAATATAATAGAATTTCTTCTTGAGGAGATTGTAAGAAGGGATGAGATTGTGAATCAGCAACTTGAAAAATTTAAGTTGGAAATCAAAGAAATTGGTGAATTGGTGAAATCTAAGTTTGGCTTTTTGGATCGAAAGATTTTAAAAACAGCTAATGGCTTAGCAGACTTTGTGATTCAGTTGGAAGCAAATACTAAATTATTAGAGTCTAAAATGAAAGAAACTGAGGAGAATTTGGATGACAAGATCCAAAAAATTAAAAAGGATTTGGCAAACACTCAGGATAATAGTTCAGAAGACAAACTTAAAATGGAGGCTGATCAAAAGACTGGTAATGAAGAAAATGTACAACAGAGGATTGAAAGAGAAGTTTTAATGATCCAACACAATTTTACAGAATATGCAATTAGACTGAGAGGTCTGCAGGAAGATGACAGAGATGATTTAAGGAAGATATCTTCTGAAATTCTGGCTGGGATTTTAAAGGTTCAACCTGATGAAGTGTTTTGCAGGATTGACAGAATTTATAGAATAAACTCCTGGTTGGCAAAACAAAGGCAATTGCCTAGAGATGTGGTGATTTATTTTACAGACAAAGAAATTAGAAATAATATTGTGCAGAATTCTTATGATTCTACTTTGCAATTTCGTGGAAGAAAGATTTGGATTTTTAAGGAACTCCCGCCCAAGATGTTAATGGAGAGGAAGAAATTTGGTTTTCTAGTGAATGAGTTAAAAAAAAGGAATATTCTATTTAGGTGGGACGTCCCAGTTGGTTTAATATTGAGACACCAAGGAGTAAGATACCAACTGAATACTGTCGAAAAAGCGGAAGAATTTTATCAAAAAATTTTAAAAATAAATTTAACATCTTTAGGCATAACACAGGACAAGCAAAAGGAGTTGGAAATAAAGGGAAAACATCAAATTACAGAGGCTGTGGTAGATAAACTGTCTTCGGACTCCTTGGATACCCCAGCTGGACTGTCTATAAATTTGAGAGCAGTGTCATCTGATTCTAATGTGATGAATTATCAAGTTACAGACAAGTGCGTAAATCAACCAGTTGATATACAAGTGATGGAAAAGACATATGAGATAATAAAACAAAACCAACAAGATCAATTTACAAAGCAGAATGACAACCGATCAGCTGATACACAACTTGTAGGAAGGAAATCTGGATGGAAATGCAACCCGCAAAAGAAAAAGAAAAGAAACAGATCTCGTAGAAATAGTAGTTTCTAAACCAAGCAACAGTGAAGCCAGGGATTTTAAAAAATAAATGAATATGTGAAAAGATATTGGAGGCGAATTATCGTTTAATACTATCTTGAGGAAAGTGGCAGATCTCTGCAATGCCGTGATTTTGGGATGTGGAAAGAGCCTTACATTGTTGGATTTGAACTATCTATTTTGGATTTCTTTTACCGATAAATATATTATAACTATTTTGAGTTACAAGGCAAGAGAGTCATGCTGGGGCATGCAGAAGATCTGGCTGTTACCCACTAAGATGATGGGAATTTATAATCCTGATGAAAACCACAATTACAACTATATGGAATATAATTATAATGTCACTCGGGTGGTTGTTTTTACTTTTATATATACATGAGGATATTCATTATTGATGGGGGCAGAAGATGACTGAAGATTTTGAATAAACTGTTGCACCAGGATGCTATGTTACCCTATTATGGATGATGGATTTAACAATCTAGTGGAAAGACATCAAAGAAGATACTAAATGAATTATAAATTTAAAGTTATTGTCTTTTCTCTTTTTATAAAATGGAATGTATATATAGACATATGTATATTTTAGCAGAGTGGGCAGTGGATTATATTTAGAATTGTAGTGTATGGTAATCTTGCAGGAAACTGGGTTGAAATAGGCTAGTTTAGTGATTGATTAGTTTAAGAAAAAGGATTTTTAAGTCATATATTTTGGGGAGTGGAAGAATTGGATAGAACTGAATAAATGTTAAATTTGGAGAAGGCTGCTTTGAAATGTTATATTAATATATATAAAAGATTAAAGGTTATGTTGTTGTAATAATAATAATATTTTATAAGTTTGGGGGAGGAGAAAAAGGGTAGATTATTGCGAAAAGCGGAGAAAAGCGGAGTTATAAGAATATTATGCTAAGGGTCAGTACTTTGAGGAGTGAGTAAGGGCATGGTAAAATATTATGTAATTAATGATGAATTAGCTTATTGTTGTGAAGAAGAAGTCACAGGGGGGGATGGGTGGTGAGGGGGGGTTAGGGAAGAAGGGGGGAAAGGGGGGAAAACTTGTATTTGAAAACTTTTTCAATAAAAAAAAAAAAAGGCTCCTCAGAGCCTTTCGGGCTGGTCTGCCTGGTTACAGTAAAACGACACCCGGCATATAAGATGACCCCCGACTTTTGAGAAGATTTTCATGTGTTAAAATGTCATCTTATACGCCGGGAAATAAGGTATATATGTGAAAAATCCAAGTTTCAGCCTGAAAAAATGTCCCAAAATGGTTACAATTAAACCTTCTGAGCTAAATTTAGAGATGTGGGGGCTTTAACTGATGAAATGATGCCTAAAGCCTCTGCAAAATTTGAAACACCAGTTATACTGATGGAAGTCCTCAGCTCCAAATAAGAAAATACTATCCTCCTGTCCACAATTCCTCTGGTGACATCCCCTTTCAAGGAGTCCTCACATTTAGGACTGGGAACTGTGTCACTAAGCAGCCCGATCATAATGCATGATGTCACATAACTGCCAACTTACATCTGTTCCTCTGGAGTTGTTAAGCAAACCACTGTGGGTTGTTAAAGGCAATTTCACATGACTGTCACTTGCAATTTCTTGCCGTCATCATCCTCACTAACTTTGCCTATGAGAAACAAGCTGGGAAGGTCAAAAATGGGGATCATGATGGTGGGATGTTGTGACCATCATAAATGTGCATCGGTTGGCAGCGTCCAAGCCAAATAGCCCAACTTGCTTCTGGCCTCTCCTCCAACTTGCCCTCAACTCACCTTCCAGCTGATGCTTCAACTTTTAGAAGAGCACAAAAGCCGCTCTGCAAGCCACCTTCCACCCATGAGTGATCCGGTACAGGAAGTTCCTCTGTGCTTCTCTTCTTCCTCAATCCTTTCTAGCAATACAGTACTTGATGGTTTTAACTCCTTTAAGGATCAACCACAGATGCAGCTACTGTATTGATGGCTTTGTGGGCGCAGAAGTGACCGCCATCTCCCGACAGGAGGTGAAAAAACACGCTTGTCCCGTCTCTGCCTAAGACATTTGCAAGATGTTGTCACTGATTATATGCTATCAAGTCGTTTTAGACTCCTAGCAACCTATCTTTGCCAAGTAAAATAGTGAAATGTGAAGCTACTTAAGCTTATGAAGATTAGCTACATGCTGAGCCCTAAATGTTCATGAAGTTCTTACAGAATTACAGAGTAAGAGTTGGAAGGGACCAACTCTCCAAGCAGGAGAACCTATATCATCCCAGTCAAATGGCTTTCCAGTCTCCTCTTAAAAGCCTCCACTGATGGAACAACCACAGGTTGAGAGGCAATTTGTTCCACTGATTAATTGTTCTCACTGACAATTTCTTCTTAATTCTAGGTTGGAATTTTTTAAAAAATAATTCTCCCTCTGTTACTTTTTGTCCTACTTTCAGGCACTTTGGGGAATAGGTCGAACCCCTTTTCTGCGTCAGCCCCTCAACTATTGAAAGACTGCTATCATGTCACCCTTAGCCGTTCTCTGCATTAAATTACACATACCCAGTTCCTGCACCCGCTCATCGGATATTTTAGCCTCTGGCCCCCTATATCTTTCTTGCTCTTTTCTGCGCACGATGTCTCAAAATCTTGTTTATATCACAGTGACTAAAACTGGATGCAATATTGCAAATGTGATCTTACTAATGTTTTATAAAGTGATACTAATACTTCACGTGATCTTGATTCTATCCCTCTGTTACTGCAGCCCACCACTGCCTTGGCTCTATTAACAGCTGCCACACAACTGCTGGCTCACATTGAAGTGATTGTCCACTAGGATTCCAAGATCCCTCTTGCAATTATTGCTATTGAAAATATTGATATTCTATAGCTGTGCAGATGGTAGACACAGAACTGCAACAACACCAAGTCTGTGACTTACAGATAGTCCTCGTTTTACGACCAGCCATTTAGCAACCATTCAAAAAACAACTTATGAACCAGATTTGAACTTCTGAGGACTGGGGGTTGGGGGGCTCCACCCAGGGTCACATGACATTTTGGGTGCTTGGCAACCAGCCTGCAGTTGTGGCCTTTCATAGCATCCTGCAGTCACATGACCACGATTTACATTTTTGCCAGAAACCCATGCTTATATCCCTAGTGAACAATGGGTTTGCTTAATGATTGTAGCATTCACTTAACAACTGCCATGTTTGAATGAAATTGAATCAACTGGGTAGGAAATCTATGAGTCACCAGAAAAAGGGGGATGCAGAAGTAAACTTAAGTGCCCCACTGACCACTCAGTAACAGTAACAGAGTTGGAAGGGACCCTGGAGGTCATCTGGACAGTTTCCCTTCAGAAGTTGTGGGAGCTTCATCACTGGAAGCTTTCAAGGAGAGACTGGATTGCCATCCATTGGAAATGATACAGGCTCTCCTGTATGAGCAGGGGGTTGGACTAAGAGTAACAGAGTTGGAAGGGACCTTGGAGGTTATCTAGTCCAACCCCCTGCTCCGGCTAAATGACCAGATGACCTCCAAGGTCTCTTCCAACTCCTGTTATTCTGTTAATCCGAGGCTTTGGTGAACATGACAAGAGAGTCACGATTCATCGAAGAAAGAGACGCCGCTTGCAACTCAATAGCCCCGATGCTCTTTTTGTCATTTTGTCCCCACCCCCACCCGTGACGCCTCCGCGCCCTCCTTTTATGCCTTTCCCTGCACCTGGATTGCGGAGCTGTGTGCTCTGCTTGAACATGGAGGTTCAATTTTCTATAGGAAGAGAGAGCTCTGCAAGGACCAACTGTTGTATCCTCTCCTTTACCAGGAGAGCATTAAAAGGTGCAGTTTTTTTAAAAAAAAGAAATTATTTACTCGAGGATAATTTCCCTTTAACCTCCCCCCCCACTCCCCTTTCCTGGATTTCTTATTCTCTGATCTGATCTTTTTCTGAAAGTTTCAAATTTAACTTACTGTTGCAATATTTTCAGGATCAGACTCAATAAGTTATAAGAGAGTTAAGAGTTCAAATATATTTTCTTTTATTTACATAAGGCATTCTATATTCACTGAATATTCACAGATAGAAGCAAAGAAGAGAGTGTGTGCAGCTCCTTATATATACAATGGGTGGAGCTAGGTATGGGAGTGGTGAAGTATGAATACATTAAGAAGTGAAGAATAAATTAACCCCTGATATCCCGTTCATATACTATTTACACATTAGAGAATAAGGCATTTACTTGTGACAAATCCCCCTCTAAATGCCGATTCGATATGCTACATTTATTACATTCAGATTCAGAACAATATAATACATATAATTTGGAAGTCAAATATTTATGTTGTTTAGATGGCAAAGGCTTTGTCAATATGTCAGCTAACTGTTCTGATGTCTCACAATGCACTGCCTTAATAAATCCATCTTGAGATAATTGTCTCACATGTTTAAATTTTATGTCTATATGTCTAGATCTCTGCCCAATGGCGTCAGATCTAGATATTTCAATGGCTGCTTTATTGTCTTCGTGCATGACAAAAGGTAGGGCAGGTTTTTTCCAAACATCAGAAATTAGGTCATTAAACCATACAAGGTTATTTGCTGCTTTAGATAAACAAACATATTCCGCTTCTGTTGTTGAAGTGGCCACTAAATCTTGTTTGCCAGTGTACCAGTAAACTGGACAATCGTTTAGGAGAAATAAGTAACCAGATGTACTTTTTCTGCATGAAGTGTCTCCAGCCCAATCTGCATCTGCGTAACATGTGAGTTTCGGTTCCTTGACATTATTAGGTTCTAACATTAAGCAAAAGTCTAATGTATTTTTTAAATATCTTAATATTCTTTTAACAGCTTCCCAATGATACATAGTTGGTTTGCTGACATGTCTGGACAATAAATTGAGGGGTAAAGCGATGTCAGGTCTTGTCCAATTAGAAATGTAAAGAAGTGAACCTATGATTGATCTATAGAACGTGTTATCTTTGAATTCAGGGGATGATTCATCAGCATTTCTTAGGAAATCAGTTTGCATTGGAGTGTCACAGGGTTTAGCATCATTTAGGTTACATTTGTTCAAAAGTTCTGTGATCTTATCTTTCTGAGAAAGCTTGAATCCCCTTTTAGTTTTACTAATTTGAACACCAAGATACTTATTTACTTTACCTAAGGATTTCAATGAGAAATGTTCATTTAACTTTGTTACAAATGTTTCTCTTCTTTCTTTGTGATTACCTATATATAAAATGTCGTCCACATAGATCAATACAAATTCTATGTAATCATTACCCTTTCTAACAAAGAAACAATTATCAGCAGTAGTAGCATTGAATTCCATAGTTCTAAGTACTTTTACTAAACAATCATACCATCGTTTACCAGATTGTTTTAGCCCATATAGACTTTTGTTTAATAACCAAATCTCATTCTTATTTGTATATTGACTGTGAGGTGCCCTTACATATATTTCCTTATCTAATTTTGCGTGTAAATACGCAGTCTGTATGTCATACTGGAATACATCGAGATTGAGTGCTGATGCTACAACTAGAGCCGTTTTTACACTTTCAGTTCTTACTGTGGGGGAGTAAGTGTCAGTATAGTCCTCTGGATATTTCTGTGCATAACCTTGTGCAACTAATCTAGCTTTGTATAGAGTATTGCCTCCCTCTAAATTTTTAATTTTATATATCCACCTAGTGCCAATAATTGTTTTGTCCTTTGGTGCAATTGCAGGTGTAAATACATTTAATCCTTGTAAACTTTCCATCTCTTTTGTCATTGCTAATTCCCACTTTTCTTTTTCTTTAGGAGGAAGTTTTAACACTTCCTCATATGTGCTAGGTGTCATAGTTTCTCCATCCATATGCATTATATAATCTTTATATTTGTTTGGCATTTGGTTTCTAGTGTTTCTAATTGGCTTCTCGGGTTTACTATTATTGTCATGCAAATATCTTGCTTCCTTTTTTGTTAATGTATCTGTCTTTATTTTGTGTTGACTGTTTGTCCATGTTTTGGTTTTGTTTTTATATTTGTTGTCATTTTGCTTTTCTACAGTTCTTTTCTCTTGGGATTTTGTATCTGTGTTGTTGTTTGGGAATATTTCATTAAGATGTATTCTAGACCAGTTGGCCTGTTCATGAAACACAGCTGTTCTGGAAACTATAAATTTGTTATTATTATCAATGAATCTGTATCCTTTTGTACCTGTCTCATATCCCATAAATCTAAGTCTTCTAGACACATTTTCTCCCTTTCTTCTTAATTGTTTAGGTATGTGTACGTCTGCGGTGACTCCAAAAATGTGCATGTGTGCTAGTTTTGGTTTTCTATTATACATCACTTCATATGGTGTCTTATTCACAATGCTGGACCAAGTTCTATTTTGTGTGTAATTGGAATATTGTAGGGCTTCTGACCAGAATTGTTTGCTTAAGCCAGCATCTTCCAATGTGCATCTAATCATGGTTTGTAATGTTGAGTTCTTCCTCTCTACAATTCCGTTCTGGAACGCGGAAAATGGGCTAGATGTGTAATGTAACATTCCTCTGTCCTTCAACCATTGGGAGAATTCCTTAGACATGAATTCACATCCCCTATCTGTCATTATTTGTTTTATTTTGATATTGTGTTGTGTTTCTACGCGTTTGTAAAACTCTTTAAATTTCTGAAAGGTTTCATCTTTGTGTTTTAATGTGTAAACAAATCCATAGCGACTATAGTCATCCACAATAGTTAAGAAGTAACGTTTTTTATAAATGATTGATGGAGTCAGTGGACCAACCAGGTCCATGTGTACTAAATCAAAAATCTTGTTAGTTGACCTTGTAGATTTTCTAGGCCTGGGACTAGTTTTTAGTTTTGTAGATTTACATACTGAGCATTCCAAATAGTTTTCACAATTTTTTATTTTGACACCTTCTGCGTGTTCAGTCATTTTCTGTACTACAGGAAAACTGGCATGTCC